TTATGACAATTATTACTCAAGAGACATCATTATCGTGATTAAATTTTTTTTCCATCACTTCTTTTATGATTATCGCTCCAGAAAAAAGTTTGTTTCAAATTTTTTTTAACTTCCTTCTTTTGTGAAATGTGTGCTTGATGGGATTTCTTTTGTTTAACATGTGTTTGAGCTTAACGTGTGACATTTGGAATTTGATAACTTAAAAAGGCGGGCTTTGAAATGGCTGTAAAGTATGGAATGAGGGCAATGATGTTTATTTATATGCAATTGGAACCAAATGTATAGATTAAAGCAGACATGGTTGACATTTGCTTCCAATAAACATCAAATAGTTTGATAATAGAAACAAAAGAACGAAAATGTTCAGAACATAGGTTTAGAAACTACTTTAAAGTAACGTAAGCTATATAAATTAGCTGGACTAGAGCCACCTTGGTGTAGGGGTAGGCTTATCATCTGCTTGGATTTCAGAGAACATTCCATGTTTTTCCAATTTTTAAAAAGTTTTGTATTGTCCATAAAAACGGATAAACCAATTAAATATGAGGAATCTCCTCTATATATCTGGTAAGCCTATGAAGTAGTGACATCCCAACTCTGGAGCCTAGAGTCTAACAAGTAACCAACTCTTGAAGCAGCCTTATTCTAAATTATTCAAGAAATTCAATACAGGTCATGCAAAAATGATATCTTCCTTTGTAAGTTATCAAATCAGAATAAATTTATGCTCAGCTAGGCTCAAAAATCTCTCATTCATAAATAAAAACTATCCGCTCATGCAATCATCCTATAATACTCAAATAAAATTTTTTAAAGCTTTTTTTTCTCCTCCAACTTCAATCTCGCATTTTTTATGGCTGCTCTTTAAAAAAATAAAAAAAAATTGAGAGTGAGGATGACTATTGACTCTTTAAAGTACTCAGATTTATTTTCTTGTCATTTCACTTTATTCAATTCATTCGTTGACTCGCGCTCATACGCATTGTATGAAGAAGCTCAGTTTTTAAAAATTGATCAAAAGATAGTGAGCTGGTGTCAAAATCAATTACTTTCAAGTTAAACGTCCTATGAAGAGGATCGGTCGCGAGTGAAAGGCTTGAGATTTTTTTTTATTTTTTTTTGTTAAGTTTTTGTATCTTTTATTTAAAAAAAATGTGATAAATTAATATAAATAAAAATAATAATGAAAATAATGTTGAATTTGAAAATTATAAAAGTGAAAAACATATGGTTTTTAAAAAACATATGAATATAATTTGAATTAAAGCTATTAAAACAGCTTTCAGTGAACCAAAAATATCCAGAACTTTTTGTATTCTTGAAAAAATTAAATGCAAAGTTTAAACAACTGGAATAATAAAAATTGATGATAAGTGTGTTCAACTTCCAAGTAACTTATTTTTTAAAAATATCTGATGTTAAAAATAGCTGTTGTAGAAATAAATAAAATCATATGTGAAAACAATTGATGTTTCTAGGGTGGAAAATAATTCAATTTTAAGGATAATGAACTATTTCTAAAATGTGCTGTGCAAATAAAAATGCTTTAAAATTTTAAAAATTCAATTTATAATTACTCTTACATTTTAAAAGTAGAATTAGTTTTTTAAAAAATTATTTTTTTATATTAGAATTTTTTATGTTTAAACTTTTGTGTTAAATCAAACAAATTTCTAAAACTAATAAAATTTTTAACTTTTAAAATATTAAAAAATTTCAAAACTTTCAAAAATTGAATTTAAAATTGAATTTAAAAAAATCAAAAAATTGGAAAATTTCAAAACATTTGATTTCTGAAATTTTAAAAAATTTGAAAAAAACAATAGAAAAAATTGAATTTAAAAAAATTAAAAAAAGGAAAATTTCAAAACATTTGAAGTTTAAAAAATTCAAAACAATTTCAAATTAAATTTTCAAATTTGTCTAGCAAAATCAACTCAAAATCTAAAAACAACGAGCTAGCAAAATATGACAAATATGAAAATTGCTAAATTGCTGAATTTTGTGACAAAAAATCTGTGTCAATTGGCCTTAATATTCCGGTGACTTTTCTTAACAAAATCAAATCTTTATGTCTCCAAATAGAAATGTCATTGTAGCCATAAATCATGATAAACTTGAAAGTGACTCAAAGTTTTTTTTCTTGTTAACCTTAACATATATATCGATGTGAAAATTTTTATAGAGCAGATTAATTTAATCTTATTCTTAAGTGGAGATTTGAAGGGGATTGAGTTATATAGCATATATATATATAGCATATATATTAGCAGATTTGTGAGAAGTTAAAAATTTATATCTTCTTTAATTTTGGCATCTTAAGATCTGAAAGCTTTAATTGTCATTTCAGGCTCATCAAGCTTCCTTATTTCAGGTCAAAATCTTACCAAAATCAAAAATTTATTGCATTTTCAATAGTTCATAGAAGATAAAAATTTAATTAAAAACCAACTTCTCCGACTCCCTTTTAGATGACCCCTTAAAAGCTCACGATTAATCAATCAGGAAATAAACCATCGAATTTCACAATTTTGTGTCCACGCGACATCTAAAAATACCTGACAATCATTTTTTCCTTATTACTATGATATAACCCAATCATTTTATCAGTATTATCAAAAATTCAAGTGCTTCAACACAAAGTTCGATTCTAAATGACTGTTTTGGTAACATTACGTAGCAAAAAAAAAAACTTCAAACTCGTGACGATGACTATTAAAGCGACAGGAATGTTCGTGTTTTTCAAGTTGATAAGACAGAGACAAAAAAAAGTTTAATGAGTTATTGAAAGATGATGAGAATATTTTTCAGACCTACACGTGTTTACACAGAATTAGAACAAAAATGGAATTCATTGAATTTTAAATGTAGGTTGACACGAGTCAGAAAGTTTGATGTGATCAGAAAATTATTGATTTTAAATGATTAAAAAATGTTAAAATAGTTTGAATGGGTGTCACGGGATAAAGAGCACACAGCAGCAATAAATTGAAAATAAATTAATAAATTGTGTCAATGTTGGAACGGAATGATTTGCAAGGGTTGGTCAATTCATAGTTCAAGAAAAGATATTTTGGTGGGCTCAATTCCAAAAAATTGAAATTCATTTTAAACTTGATAGAAAATTTGCTCAATTTTAGAAATAAAGGTTTTTGTAGTTTCCAAGGAAGTACAATGTTTCTGTCGCTAGTGTGGTTTTTTGGATGGAATTTAGCGCCTGAATAAAACATTTTTGGAGCTCATTTGTTAAGATTTTCTACCATTTTCCATGGCGCTTGCAAGTGTGGTTTTTCTGGTCCTTTTAAAGAGTTTCTAAGCTTCCAAAAGTCCGAGACATTCTAGCTACACAATTGCTATGTAGCTTAACCTCACCTCAATCTCAAAATCTGAAACCTCACAAACAAAACTTCTCAACATAATTCCGATTATTAACTCTTTCGTGACTTCATTCAAACAAACCAAAAAATTTCCATTACCCACGCACACTTCAAAGACTTCATTAAATTCAAATGAGAAACCTTGTCAATTGCGAATTTACGTCACTTGTGACATTTATGATAATAATGAAAAGACATTTAATTAAAAATAATTAAATAACAAGCTATAATCGAGTGAGACAAACAATAATGTTCAAAGTAATTAGACAAACAAATAAACAATTAAATTTGTATGTGCAGGTACTGAAAGAATTAAATTACGTCAAGCCAAAAGTGTTGCTAATGATCCATTGAGTAATTGACTAAAAATCAATTAATAAATCTACGTCAAGTGCTTCCTAAGTCTGAATTTTGCAGCCAATTAAAGACTCATAATCTATGAATTGATTTATTGAAGGTGGTTTTGCTATAAAGGAAGGGAAATCACTTGTCAAATATTACACGTAGTAATTTATCGAACATTACTCAATACATTGTAAGAATTTATGATCTATCTGTTTCAAGTGGTCTAATTAGGAAGCTAATTGTAAAATTATAAAGTCATTTAAAATTGATTAAAGATAAAAAGACTTGATATTTTTGATGAATGTGCTTCCTTGTGACAGAAATTGATTTTAAGTTGAAGTATTTTTGAAAATTATATAAAGGGTCGTTCACCAATGACGTCTGTCAAAAAATTCAATATTTAAACCTCCTCCTTTCATCCGTCTCTTAAGAAATCTAAGAAAATTTCACAAAATTACCCAAAAAGAACTAATAAATCTTGCCACTAATCCCTCCTTAATCTAATAAAAAACTGACACAAAACCCATTCAAAGCAAATAGTTTTTAAGCACATTAAATAATTTTCTTAAACATTCTTTCAATTGTTGCTGAAAAAAAATAAGCAAGAACTAAAAACAACTTTAACTTTTATCATATCATTTTCATCTATTGTGGATATAAAAAGCAATCTACAAAGAGTAGAGAAAGAAAATCCTCAAAAACTTTATGTGAATCTTAAAAGAATTATTTTCCACACAGCTTAAGCATCTACTTAGTGGTTTTCATATATGCAGCTACACAACACAATATGTAGCTACAAAATCTACAGCAAAAAAAAGAAGTAACAACTTTTATTTTATTTTATAAAGTACAGAAATTTTTCAAAAGCAGTGAATAAGCATAAACCGAATAGCATTATAACTCAAAGGCTCAAGTGTGAAAGAAGATTTGTGCTGTGTATGTGAATACGATTCTATTAATAACGAGGCATCAGATTTTTTTTTGTGCTTCAAGTGTCCTCACAACTTTCAATTGTTTTGTGAAGAACAAGAAAAATTTTTTGCTTCAAGCAGCAAAAATCAGAAACAAAAGTTTTTAAGGATTTGACACAAAGTGCCTTTCTACCTCCTCATCCTTCAAGACACTCCTTCTGCTTAACATCATTTTCTATAAATAAGGACATATAGCGGAAAGTGACAAACAAGCGTAGAAGTAACAGCATTGTACTTTATACTGCAGACACAAAGAAGAGAAACCTAAAGTACAATACAAGTAGCTGAGAAACCATAAGCTCCAACAATGGCAATGTAAAGCTCCTTTTCTTGTTCACTTTTTTTTTCATTTACTTCTTGTTATGTTTAGAATTTTCTCGTACGAACATTTCTTGTTACTTTATTTTTTTTTTTTAGAAAATCGTCTTGAGTGCTCCGCGTGGGTTTCTAAATTTCTACTTGAGGGTGAAACTGAAAATATACTTAATTGAATGAGTTTCTAGGGAATTTTTTGGATTTCTTAAATAAAAGTTGAGGGAAATTTTAATTAAACTTTGGAAGATTAAGAAGGATTGTGAGAGTTTTTAGTGAATATATAATTTCTAGGAATTTGATTATTTTTCATTTTTAAATGATGTCTGTCAACAATTGGACTTTAAACCTATCGCCATATCTTGAACTTTAGATAATTTACTATTCAACACAATTTATTAGAGACCCCCTCTCAAAATTTTCAATAAATTCAACCCTCCTCGAAAATATATTTTTGGATACACAATTTCCAGAAAAGGACAAGTTGGATAATCGCAGAGATCGAAGCCGATTTTTTCGGCTTAACTCAATTTTAGATTTTTTTGATAGAAAAAAGCCATTTAACACCCATTTCAAGTATTTAAATTGAACTTTACATGCTTTACTATGATTCTGTGTAATATTTTGTCAGCATGAAGCTATAGTAAGCTCAGAATTTCAAGTTAGCCGATTTTAAGCCGATCGGCTTAAATTTCGGCTTAACATCAAATAACTTGAAATTCTGAGCTTCCTATAGCTTCATGCTGACAAAATATTACATAGAATCATAGTAAAGCATGTAAAGTTGAATTTAAATACTTGAAATGGGTGTCAAATGGCTTTTTTCTATCAAAAAAATCAAAAGTTGAGTTAAGCCGAAAAAATCGGCTTCGATCTCTGGATAATCGATTAAAAATCCGGGACCAAGCCGGCATGAATCTGGAATGAAGCTTTGAATTCAGCATAATGCCAGAGTCTCGCCAGCTTTAAATAATGCTCTCAAATCACGCTACCGTCCCTCCATCCCTTAATTAATACTAATTTCGAGTATCTAAAAACAGCAAGGAACATGATCAGTTTAAAGCTAGTCTCAAACTTATTTTAAAAACAGATTTACGTCAGTCAATTGGCGATGCTTAAATAATTTAAGCATTCCGCTACTCAACTGATTACCTTACCCAGTTCCACTGCCAGCATCGTGAATTTCTTGCGAAAAATATAATCTTCTTCCTTACTTCTCATGCTGTACACTTTCTTTTCCCTTATTTATTTTAAGTTTTTGTTGAATTTTCGCTTCCTTTATGTATGTTATGTATATATACATAAACACATTTAAATAGCTGTCAACAGCAATTTTCATTGCGCAAGAATGAGGAAGAAAATCTCAAATTAATGACACTGCTGGAGCACTCTAGGCACATATCCAATTCTTCAATGTCAGCAGCCAGGAGTAAAATTAATGATACATTTCCATTAATTGGTTGAAATGTGATTATTTATTCGTTCCTTTTCTAATTTTTTTCTCTCGTTCTCTTCCCTCTCATCTCTGTGGCACTGTATGTATATTAATGACTTGATACTGATTGATGTTATATGCATATCTTGCCTACCTACCCGACATCATCATCATTATAATAACGACACGAAAAAAAAAGCAGCAGTAATTGCGATCAATTCACCAACGAGTGTGAAAAAGTTTCATTAAACAGCAACAGCGACACGAGAAGTAAAAAGTTCAAAATTATTAATATCAATCAAGTGACGAGTGGTGATGGCAATAAATATCAACCGAAAAAGACACAGTTAATTGAGATTGACAAATTAATAAACAGCAGCGGTAATGAAAATGGGCCAAAAGATGGAAAGAAATCATCGAAAAGTGGCGTTTGGCATCAGGTGAGGAAATGCTTTCACTTTTTTTCTTTCTTGTGCTTTTTTTGCCTTTTTTCTTTCACTTCCTTTTCTGTCGTAAACTTTTTTTTCGTATTTCTTAGCGAATTTTTTAAGGACTTGATGGGTAGTTGGGCTATATTTTGTCATTTTGGCGTTAGGAATCATTAAATATGGGAATAAGCAGGAGATCTGATGAGGTTTAGTGGCATAGTAGTATGGTACTTTGTTACCTATTTATTGGGACGTTAGCTAAGCTTTCGGGAATGCTGATTTGACAATTATATGGACTTAAAATGTAGCTTTAAGCCCCCCTTTTTAAGTCTATTGAACAGTGTTGTCTAAAACACAGATAAATTCAGAACATGGACTGTATGCTGTGTATTAATAAATTTGAGCAGAAAATTTGACAACTCTTTCCTTATTAAACTCATAAGGTATTTATGAGCATAAGCAAAATTTGGGGTTATTCCCGTTATTCCTTTACAAATACTTGAAGATAGTAAAAATAATGTTACATTTATCTATAAAAAAAAATGATACGCTCTATTCACAGACTCACAATACCTCCCTTACTCGTATGTCTTTCAAAAAAAAACTCCCTTCATCTTAACACGGCTGCTTTTGGACATCGCTTTATTTGATGGTACATAGCTTCTAGGGAGAAACTTTTTCATTCGCTTTCTTTTCCTCTTTCGCACTTAATGAATGTTTTTTTGGTGGTGCTTTTAACAGCACCAAATGGCAGTAACAAGAAAAGAATTTTCTTCCCTCATTCTTAATAATTTTCATTCTTTATGATTCTTTTTTTTTCGGGAGAATAAAATAAAGAAAGTGAGAGAAGAAAGTTGAAAAGTTTTTGCTTTTCATTTTTAATGTAGGTTTTTTTTTGCTTTCGTATGGTTCGGGGCAGTTGGGGGTGCTCACTTGTTACAGAACTTTGAAATAGGCTTAACGGTTTAAAACTGAAAATAATCCAGAATGATGCTGACTTAGGCGTGAACTCTAGCAACTTTGGAGTCTGAATATTCCTATTCAGGTGCTATTTTCCAATGTGTTATTCAGGCTCCTTGCATTGGTGAAAATGTGAAAAATCAGTGATATGGGCAAATGAGGCTTATATAAAAACTCACCCCACCTCATCAAAATTTGATCCAAGTTGATTCAATCTAAATTTAAAACCTTCTCTTCGTCAATCTCTCAAAGTTCAGTTCTGGCTACGCCTTCTGTTCAGTTTGAAAGTTATTTCTTGGTATGTTTGAATAAAAATAAGTTGGACTTTTGAGTGGATTTCAGGGACTTACATATATTGACAGCAATATCATATCAATGACCTTCTAGGCATTAAGAAACACATAATTCTAAGTAAGAAAGGTATCTTCGAGGATCTCGAAATCGACTCCGAAGCTGACAAAATGTCAAGTGCATAACTTCTCGTGGCATCCCCTTATACCGCTTAATGAACCTCTGGCGATCGAGCGCCGTAATAAGGACGTTAAAGGATAGATCAAATGTCTATCCAAAAACAACCTCGCCTGTGGGGTTGCAGCTTCACATTCAGGCCGATTTTGTGAGGTACCTTAAAAATACTATTTTTTTCACTATTTTACTCCTACTCACTATCCAAGGGCGATATGATTGCACGTACTATTTAACAACATCAGCAATTATATTCATCAACCAAATCTTACCTTAACTTATTAATGAATATTTCATGAAAACCAAAGACAAAAGCTGTAATTAATGATTCATTCAAGAACAGAAATCATCTGGTTTTCAGCCTGAATTGAACGTAATTACAAAAGTATTTCCATTCCTTGCTTTATCGTTTCTTACATCTGATGATGTAGAAAGAAAAATTCTTTTCACGCTCACTTTTTGTTGCTCATCCATAGAAAGTTACAAAAATTTTTTTTTGTGGTAAAATGAAGGCAAGCATAGAAAGAAAAAAAATTTTAATGATTAAAACTGACACTGAAGTTAAGGAAAAAATGGGAAAACAAGAAGTGAGGAAGGTAAGCAAAAATGTGTACGAAAAAATTTTAATGAAATTTTTTTTCTCCTGAACAAAAGTGACTCAACACAATTCTTTTTTGTTGTTATCAGCCTGCTTGCCTACCTTTAATGCTGTCAGTTTTTTTTGTGCAATCTCATTTTAATTTTTAATACTTTTTAAGTTGGTGAGGATGAAAAAAAAGAAAATTTTTGTGCGGAGTTTTTTTTTTGTGTGTGGGGATGATGGAGAATAATGAAATTTTGACGAGATTGATAAGCATGAGCAGCTGTTGTCCTTAATATTAAAGTGAGTTCTTTGTTTGGGGGATGATTTTAAATTAATGCTGAATTTAAGACTTTTTTTTTGAGAATATTAGAAACTGTGGATTAATTTTGAAGTAATTCATGCAGGGGCTGGTGCCAGGGGTATAGCCAGAAAAAAATTTCGTTGCCTTACGTTTAGTATTAATCTTTTTTTATTAGTTCTAATGAAACCATATTGATTAAATTATAAATTTGAGTTCTGGAAGAATTTTAGAAAAATTTTCGTTGGGGTTCAGACCCCATCAGACCCCCCTCCTGGCTACGACTCTATCTGGACTTCCATTGATATTACTAATGAACCTACTTGTGGAGGTATAGCCAGAGAGTTTTTTGAGAAAAGAACAAATCCCATGCTTCCTCTCATGAGCGTAGCCAGGATTGAAGGAAAAAATATAAATTTTGGTCTAGAGCACTTTAAAGCAGTTCCGATTCTATAGCAATAAAAACTTCTCTCCTCAAATTCAGCCTTAATCTAGTCAACCAACAACTAAAACGAGAAAACACATTAAACGCTGTAAAATTTCCATTAAAATCGATCAATTGAGAAGAAGTGAAAAATCAATCTTGTGTAAAGAACAGTCAACATTCTCACCTTTTTCTTCGCTACTATCATCCCACACTGCTTCAAGATAAAATAAAAAAAGCTATTTAAATTTCTCAGAAGGGAGAATTTGTTGAAGATGACAATTCCGTATCGTGCTAGAATAAAATATAAATAAAGTTGCGAAGAAAATTTATTTTTCAATAAAAAAATGTCATTTGAATTTCGCTCCTTTTTTCCCACAATCTTTCAATACTTCCGAAAAAATGTTGCCGCTACACATTTGTGTACATATAAAATACAATTTTCTGTCGAGAAGAAGGGAAATCGATCAATGTATCTGCCATACGCACCTTTTCACAATGCCATTGAATGTGATTTGATATATACCGTAACGTAGCATTTCACATCTGTCGATTTTCCTTACCCGCGAGCAAATATTTCATATCAAACTATAAAGAGATGTAAAAATATCGTAAAATTATTTTTTTGCTTCTTCTGAAATTGTTGATAAAATAAAGATATATCAAAAGTTTTAGGGGGTGATTGTCGTTGCTACTGCATATATATGAATCCATCAAAATTCTATATGACTGCGGTAAAAAGTAAATTTTTTTTCTCTGCAAAAAAAGTGCACAAGCACATGCGAAAGAAAAAAGGTGAAGACATATCATGGAATCATTATCATAAAACGAACTGCTTTGATGGGCATGCTGCGTGAATTTAGTCAGAATTTTTGATTTATTTTGAGTTTTGTTAAATTTTGGTGGAATCATGAAACTCAAATCAGAAGCTATATATCTGAGAATCGACATGAAATTGTCCTTAAAGCAACATATGAACTATGTGAACAAAAGGGTTCAATAAACAAATCATAAAGGTGAATCCTTCTCATGTTGACAATATCTTGAGCTACTAAAAGGTTAGAGTTGAGATTCAAGATCAGTCTACAGAAGGATTCAAACTCACGCCCTCACAATTAAGAAAGTAACGAGATTTTCACTATGTTACTTATCCACTCGACCACAGAGGTCTTACTTTTAATCTAGCAGTTTTAATTATGTATGGTTCAATAACCTAAATTCTACTCTGCACTCTCTAGACACCACACTATGCAAAGCAATCTTTCAAAACCTACCAAATTAAGATTTTCCGAAAATTAATGACTATGAAATCAACAAACTTTACAAAAGAAATAGATAACATGGTTCCAGTGGCGTAGTCAATAAAGATGATTGAGAGGAAACTCTTTTAAATAAAATCCAAATTCCCTCTTAAGATTCTGGCTTTTCCTCAAAAATCAAACAGAACCCCCAAGAATCTGTCAACAAACATTTCCCATACAAAATCCTGACAAATTTCACCCTAAAGGTACTTTACCCGTCATATACATTCATTGATGTTATCTGCAGTTTTTTAGAGACTGCAAGGCATGAAGTATCTGCCTAATATAAACTCATAAATCATCATCTGAATCATCACGACAACGGGAAATGTTGTAAAAAGCATAAACGCACACACTGTAATGTATTTATTTTTTTCTGGCATGATAGGAATGGTGTGTTATGGTTGAAGGAAGAAAATTCTTGATAAATTTGAGCTTTTTGCGTTGTATCGTGGATTTTTGAGTTTGTAGGTTAATGGAAATTATTTTTTAAGATCAGAAATTGGACTTTTTAAGCTCTAAAAGCTAGAAAATTTGATATTGATGCTCAGAGAGTGGCTAGTAAATTTTTTAAGCTGGTTTTGGAATTATTTTCTCAAAAAAACCTAGAAAATTAAAGAAATTTGTCCATCGCAGGAGGATTTGATCTCAATCCATAACTTTACCATTCAGACTGAGCCCCTGAGGAAGGTATAATCCAACAGAAAGCATTTTAAGAACTTAAAATGCAGTAAAAACTTTCAAGGCTAGCTCATAACGATGAATTTATTTAAATGATCACGTAGTTCTGCACAATAAATCTTAGAATCAATCCAAACATCAAACTTCCTTTTCATTCTAACCTCGTGAATTCGTAGAAATGTTCAACTATTCACAATTCACCGAAAATGATTCCACCAACCTTCAAAAATCACCTTCAAACTTTAAATTCGACATCAAGGCGAAAGAAAACTTCCTTCCAAAAAAATTCATTTTAAGGTC